CAAAGAAAAAAAAAACAACTTAGAGTATTTACAAAGAAATAATCACACTTAGCAACCCAAATTAATAAATTAGGGTAGGAAAACATTCGAAGTTAGCTGAGATCCGGCCACTGCACTCCAGCCTGGGCCGCGACTCCATAAAAAAAAAAAAAAAAAAAAAAAAAAAAGAAGTCCAAAGGTAACTAAAACCAATGAGTAATTGGAATAATAAGAATGAAAATATTGCAGAACATTGGAGTGGGGCCAGTATTCCCTCTGCTTATTATAAAAATTTGGGTAACGTTTCCTCTATTAATTTATATATAACTTCAAACTTCAAAGACTTTCATAATTAAAGAGAAACTGGGATTTAACTGTTGAGGGAGTTTACTGGAGCCAACTTTCTGAGGATTATTAACAAACTTGGTCATTTTAAAACAAAATGACTGGAATAAAATGTGTTGCTAAGTTCATCACAATGCCTTCATAAGGAAAAAGTTTAAAGGGTTGTAGCAAAGTTTATGGAGGAAACTTTATACATGCATTTTTATAAGCATGTATCTAGAGCTTTACACATGCATTTTTGTGAACTTACATTGAGTGAAGCAGTAATTAATGCCAAAATGCTATTAAGGCTGTCAATCTGTTGAGTAACACTATTCATACCATGCACAAAGGTACTGGCAGTTTTCCAAAACATTTTACAGAAAAGTCAAGACCTGATATTGTAGGAACATATACATTTACATTTTGTCCATCAGGATACATTATGAGCTATGGTTGAAGAGTTTCTGGAAATTATTGAGACCACGAAAGTTTGGGCAAACAATCCTTCAATTCTGCAAATGGCCAGTGAACACCGTGCTTTATTGAGATTTGAAATTTATCAGCTGGGCACATGGCTCATGCTTGTAATCCCAGCACCTTGCAAAGTCGAGGCAGGCAGATCACTTGAGTCCAGGAGCTCAAGGCCAGCCTGGGCAACATGGCGAAACCCTGTCTCTCTAAAAAACACAACCATTAGTTGGGCATGGTGATGCATGCCTGTGGTCCCAGCTACTTGGCTACTTGGGAGGTGGGAGAATCACCTGAGCCTGGGATGGATGAGGTTGCAGTGAGCCATGATTGTGCCTCTGCACTCCAGCCTGGGAGACAGACTGAGACCCAGTCTCAGAAAAAAAAAAAAAAATCACTTATAACAAACATGGATTCAATTTTCAATAGTCTCAAATCTATTACTTTGTATTCAACATAAATTTGAAAACAGTGCATTTTTTTTTTTTTTTCATTCTGCTAGCTCTCCTTATTCCAGACAATCTTTTTCTTCTAAGCCTACATTTCTTTTGGCTCCCTTCTCTTGTTTATAATAGCCAGGAATTCTTGCCTGTTTTTTAGGCCATTAAATAATGTTTCAAAATGTTTCTCTGGTTCTTGTAATACATCATTTTCTAAGACATGCCTTTATTCTGAATTTAGCGTAATTGCTGTTTTCACTGTTAAGTGCAATTTTTATGGGGTTCATGTGGATTTTGCTTTCTATAGACTAATCTTTAATAAGGAGAAGTTGATCCAGCTCCAGTTCATTTTGAGAGAAAGGGAGGAGCCACAGTTAACAGCTTCACTCCCAGAGACATCTCAGATATATTAAAGAGATAATAATTTAATGTTGTTCTGCTGAATCCAGGTGTGCTTTTCTCCTTTTCTCAATGCACAGTTCTCTTGAGAATGATGATAATTTATACTATACAGGATTTGAAGTAGGCTGGAGTTTAATTCAGCCAAATATCATATATAAAAAAACTAACTCTCACTGTGTACTTCTAGGGCTATTTCTGGTCTTCATCTGGCTTTGTTTGTGGTAAAACCACATACTCAAGGATAAAAGATACCATTTGCCCATCTCCCTCTATTTCTTATTTACTGGGAATAACAATCTCTGAATGGATGAAGAAAGAGAAACACTGACAGCAGACTGAATGAGGACAGAAATAACTGACAGCCTTAGATAAAAACAATGTCTGTCTGACTTAGTGCATTCTACTTACTTGTTAGCCAACTGAAACATACTTTTCTCAAAGTGAAAACTACAAGGGTCTTCCTCAGCCAGCTTCATTAAATGAAATTAGAGTAACAGAAAATTTTCTCAGGCCCTTCAAATGGCTGACTGTTAACTTGTTTTTCAGAAATGTTAGTTTTTTTTACTTTTTAAATGTCTTTATAGCAAATTCCAATTTGGGAAGGAAATAAGAAGAAATGTCAACCTATCACTACCTTAAACTAGAACTTCTCTCTCTCAACAATCAAGATTGAAAAAAAATAAATTCCACTTACTTTCAGTTGGGAGAATCTCATTGTAAGGTAAACATTAAGAAGTAGCTCAGAATCTAACAAAATAGAATATATATACACATATTTCTAAGACGAGACACTTATTGAGATTACATGAATATCAAAACTCATTATTAGGCAATAAGCCATACGAACAGAATTCTTAAGAAGATAGAAAGTTTTGTGTATAAAAACTGCACCTCAATGTTTTAAGATAAATGGTTTCATGCAAAATCTGCATTTTGAGCTTTTATAGGTCTCAGGATTCATAAAAAATATCATTGAGAACATATGTAGACAGATGAAGTTGGGCTTTTCTAAAAAATCTGCTTTACTGAAGGTTAGTTAGGTTTCTATTTGAGAACATTAGAATGCCTGAGGAGGTCATCAGGTATGTACAATTTTCTGCTATGCTACCTACCTGGAACTTGTTGCGCTTGGAGAACAGAGGAGAAGAGTTGTTTTCTAGCCAACATATGATTTGGCTAGAATATGTTCACTCCCTCCCCCTTCCACTAGAGGGTTGGGGCATAATCTAATCAATTAGTAGTAGATGCTTCTCTACTAGAAAGCAGAAAAGTGTATTAATGGCAGATTATTTTTTCAGACAAAAGTAACTATCTTGCAATTTTCAGAGAACATTTACATTTTTGCAAGAAATTGAATTAGTCCTTCAAAAATACAAGATAATTTAGATAATGGCCTTCAGTACCTATATCTGTCTAGTCACCTTGAGAAACTTAACTTTTTTTTTTTTTTTGAGACAGAGGTTCACTCTTGTCTCCCAGGCTGGAGTGCAATGGTGCATTCTCGGCTCATTTGCAACCTCTACCTCTTGGGTTCAAGCGATTCTCCTGCCTCAGCCTCCTGAGTAGCTGGGATTACAGGCACCCACCACCATGCCCAGCTAATTTTTTTGTATTTTCAGAAGAGATGAGGTTTCACCATGTAGGCCAGGCTGGTCATGAATTCCTGACCTCAGGTGATCCGCCTGCCTTGGCCTCCCAAAGTGCTGGGATCACAGGCATGAGCCACGGCGCCTGGCTGAAACTTAACATTTTGAGAAGGTATAGAATTCCTTTTCAAAGATTTAAACAATGAGACTTGTAGACTATAGCAGGTGATCTATAGTAGTCTGATCTTAGTAGGATTTATACATATTTTAGAAAGCTATTTTTGTTTTAGGTTTTATTTATTATGCATGTGCTAAATTTCTTAAGAGTGATTTCCCTATTATCTATTTCTTTGTTGCAGTAAATTCCAGGTCTCTTTAAAAAGAGAAGGTGAGGAGGAAAGGGAACCTGATGATGACATTATAGTCTGAAAAGCATTTTCATAGGTTTTGAAACCATGAAGGAGTGAATCCATGATGGTGGAATGCTCCAGCGCTGCTAAAATAGATACTGGAAGGAAAGAAAGCATTTTACATTAAAATGCTAATCTTGATGCCTAATTAGTGAAATCAGTAAGTCATATTGTAATTCTTTTTCAAATATGTAATCATACCCACCTTTGCTCATCATCTGGCCTCTTGATCAAATTGAAAAGTATGTGGAGAAGCTGATCTCGCTCTTTAGGTTCAGGATGTAGACATGCTGTACACAATATGAGGGGGATCAACTCCTAAAGAAATATGAGGGTGGAAAATTTCAAATAAAAACACATTGCAGAATATTCTTTTTTTTTCTCCAGGATATTCTTAAATGGACATTTAAAGTGAAATAAACGTCAATATACAAAAGGGTAAATTTTAATTTTGTAAGGTTGGTAATTCAAGAGATGTTTACACTAAAACGTTTATGTGTTGGTTGTGGAGGAAATGTAAATAACAACATAACAAAAATTGCTTAAGATTCAACTAGCCTTGGTTTTTAATCTAGCACTTCCCAAGGGCCCACTAGCTTTTACACTAAATAACATTCCATTATGTGACATACTGACACTGTAATTTTAATTCTGAAAGTGTTTTTAAACAAAAGTTGCAAAAGTCCACTATAATTTAAAACTTAAAAAGATAATAAAAAATAAAGACCACTGTTCCCACTTCTATAAGGACAATATAATGTCCTTATGATTAGATCTAATAATTTTGTACCCTTAGCACTTGACTCAGTGCCTAATTAAAAAGACCACTTTCATAGATGTTGAATCGTCTCAGTACCATTACAAAGTATCAGTAGAAATATTTGATGTTGAAATATAAATTTTTAACAATATTTTGTTTTCTTCACATTCAATATGCAGAGGTAAATTCAGCATTTTGTAGGAAAGTAAGAACTAAAAGTTTATTTCTAAGAAATACTTGAAATTAGTTACGTTGTTTTACATTTTAATTAAGATGAAATTCTTTATACTAAAGTACATTCAAAATATATTAATGTTTTTCATTTGAGTGGATTTTCAAATCTAAGAAGAACAATGGTCCAAAAGTAATACAATATTTTTGTGAGAAATCCTCTAAGTTGTAAAAACAATATTTTGTAAATATAGTAAAGAAATCACTATGATGTAATTAAGGGAAGAATGACTACACGCATTTCTTTCCCACCTGCCTTGATACTCACCGAAAACTGTTAAGAGATTTAAAATAGAAATTGATCACTATGTAATAATGTACGATTATTATTGTCTGTAATAATATAACCTAAAAAAAAAAATGTAACCTGAAGAAAAGCATGATAAAAAGTCTACACTGTTGAAGTGTTTTCACACTTTGAAGATGCTTCCTAAGAAAGAGATGATTTTTCGAAGAGTTGAAACTGAAGCTTAAATGTATGACTAGAAGTCTCTCTCTATTATTTCTAAAGTCTTTATCTATTATAAACCTTAAATTTGAAGTTACAAAGGTATAGGTAAGACGAGCTAAGAATGTATCTGAGAAAAAAAGAATGTGAAACATTTATTCTGCCATTTTCAGTCTTCCTGTTTGGGCACCTCTCTAGGTTTTACCTTAGTGAATAATTCAAAAGGAATAAAAAATTAGGAAAAAAAATTTTGCACTGGGAATGAGAGACAGAGCATATGTATAGATCCTATATGTTTTCCCTAGAGGTTTAATGTAATGCTTGATGGATTAGTCCTGATTCTGTAGAAGAAAATGAACAACCTTTTACAAAATAGTAAATATTCTGTCTGGCTGGAAATTTAACAATATTAGGGTAGGAGATCATTAATAGCAAGGAGTACCCTAATCCTTAGTTGATTCCATATGGGCTGCTGAGAGGCAATGATACTAATGAGAGGACTAAGACATTGCATCATCAGGGTATACTACTGAGAGTAGAACCATAAGGATGAAAAGTAGTTATTCTGGAAGCATTAAAAAAGTGAGAAGCTATTCTAATGCCTGAAAACCAAGAAAGGCCCTAAAAATTTTATTTGTACTTTGTCTTCATGTCAGATCTTGTTTCCTCCTAATCCCCCTTCCTGCTTTCCCATCATCTCTACATGTATACTTCTCATACTGTTTAAAGTTATGAAATGAAGGTAAGATAGCAGCTATAATTGCTAACACACACACACACACACACACACACACACACTTAAAATGTAGAGTATAATCTTTTACTTCATCTCAAAAACAAGCATACAAAAACAACTGTGTTGCTCTTCATCCTTTATGTCTTATATTTTATTTTCTTTTTCTTTTTTATCATGAGGCTTAGTGATCCTTAATCAAGGAGGAAGTTTAAGTCATACATTAATATGGACAATATTTTAACTGAAATATGGCTACAGATGTGCCAAACTGAGAACTCTGGCCCAGGAGCTGAAAGAGTTCTTACCTTGGTTTACTCCTTAGTACCAAAGAAACTAAAGAAAAGCACAAATTTCTCTTTCAGTTTCTTAAAGTGAAACATGTAGGAATTCAGATTAATGCACAAACGGAAAACACTTCACAGACATTCTGCAATTTATCTATTGCTGATAATTTTTCCTTCTGAAAGCAAAGATGGCCTAAAAAAGCCTGTTCAACACAGCAGTCGCTACGATCAATTCAAACTGACATATTAGAAGGAAAGTATTTGTGAGTCCTTGTCTCCTTGAACCTTAAATTTCTGTGAATTTAGGACTTTGAAAAAAATACTTTTCACTTTTCTTAATCACAGTAATAATTGATATTGCCATCAGCTTTTATTTCTTGCCGGCAAATTAACAATATATGGGAAGTCACTGCCAATAATTTTTGGTTGCTATTCCATGCCAACAAGAGTAGTCCACCTTGGCATATTACGGCTATGGCAGTTACAACTCAGAGTGTAAAGGATGCCGGATGGCTTCTTCCTCTTACAGCAACACAGAGCTGAGAAGAGGTCCAGTAAGTGAGGAAGAAACATGCAGAAGGAGTGGTCTGTTTCTGACAGAGCCAGCAAGGACACGATTAGGATAATTGCTAGATTGAGACTGGCCCCAAATCTGCTAATTTCTCCATTATCCATTTATTTATAACTTTTATTTGTATTGCTATTAAAATAAAATAATAGATTCCATAAGTATATGTCTGTTACTTATTCCCATTTATTGTAAATTCATCTTTCAAGCCTTTGAAACACTAATAAATCCACACCAGAATTTACTAAGTTTGTATTTACCATTTTCAGACTATTCATAAGTTAATAGACTTGAATCAATATTCTCCCTTTGGCATCACCTCTCACACTGAAAAAGTACAGTCTTAAAACTTTCTTTATAATTCTGAATACAGCATTTAAAAAATGGTGATTAAATTTCCATCAGAAGACAAGGTGTTCTAAAAATATCTTTGAAAGACTAAATGTAAATGAGAATAATAGAGCAGTAAAAAATCCTTAGGCATATTAGATTTAATATCTCATATAATATTAAAATAATAACCATGGTAAGAAAATACCTATGACTTGGGTAATATCAGATCCAAGAGGTAATTTTTCTGCTTCACATAATAAACTTATGTGTCCGCATTTCCTTCTTTTTATTAAGAGACTGGGTCTTGTTATATTGCCCAGGCTTGAAGGCAGTAGGCTATTCACAGGCGTGATCGTAGCACACTACTGCCCCAAACTCCTGGGCTCAGGAGATCTGTTGAGGGCAGTGACTATCGGGGGCTGATGTTGCTCTGAGCAGTAAAAATAATTTGCCAAGACAGTTGTGGGTAAAGAAAGGCAGATTTATTAGACAAAGTAGGAAAATACATTGCAAGAAAGGAAAGGGCAGACCAGCAAGACAGGAGCTAACTGCAAGGAGACAAAAAGTTGCTGGTGCTCATGCTGTGTGCTGAAGAGGGCTTTGTGCAGTACTGATAAAGCCAAGGTTGCAGTGAGCTAACTTGCATTTTTCTATTGGCTGAGGTGTCTGGTGATAGCTTTGTGCAGGAAAACCGTGAGTTATTTGTATAGGAGGGCTACGTGTCCTGGACCATGAAGAAAAGCAGACTTACAGCTTATCCACTTTCTTTTTTTTTTTGAGACGGAGTCTTGCTCTGTCGCCCAGGCTGGAGTGCAGTGGCCGGATCTCAGCTCACTGCAAGTTCCGCCTCCCGGGTTCACGCCATTCTCCTGCCTCAGCCTCCCGAGTAGCTGGGACCTCGCCCCGCTAGTTTTTTTTTTTTTTTTGTATTTTTTAGTAGAGACGGGGTTTCACCGTGTTAGCCAAGATGGTCTGGATCTCCTGACCTCGTGATCCGCCCGTCTCGGCCTCCTAAAGTGCTGGGATTACAGGCTTGAGCCACCGTGCCCGGCCAGCTTATACACTTTCTTTTTTTTTGCTTTCCCTCAGTCTCGCCAGGCCAACTCCCACTCCTTATTTAGAACTCCACAAGATCCTCCTGCCTCAGCCTCCTGAGTAGCTGGAACTATGTGTCACTGTGCCCAGCTAATATATCCATACTTTCAGCAATAGGAATCTTTAATATTTTAAAACATGATTTGGCAACATAGAGAGTACTCAGTAATGTGTATTGAAGTGAAATATTTAAGAGTGTCTATGATCATTAAAGAGAAAATCAGTATAGTAATCCTACTGCAGAATTTCTAGGATTTTTAGATTTCATTAATAGAAGAGGACTGGAATTCGAAACTAGCCTGGGCAAGATGGCAAAACCCCACCTCTACCAAAAATACAAAAATTAGCTGGGTGTGGTGCTGTGCACCCGTAGTCACAGTTACTTGGGAGGCTGAGGTAGGAGGATCTATTGAGGCCAGAAGGTCAAGGCTGCAGTGAGCTGTGATCGCGCCACTGCACTCCAGCCTGGGTGACAGAGTGAGACCCTGTGATCCAAAAAAATAAAAAAAGAAAATGGTTTTCTTTGAGTCAATGGTAATCTTTTGAAATTTAAATTTCAATATTTAATATCTATATTTAAACAAATCGAGATAATTCTTTTGCATAATCCAAAGGAAAGAATCTATGCTGAAAACAATTGGGGGTGGAGTAGAAATGACTGAAGAAGGAAGGAAAGACAATAAGCAATATAGAAATATCTGTTTCAAAGCACCTAAGATATCCTTGGCTTATCAGTACTCTAATTGTCAAGATTATATACAAATATAATGTGATATCATATTTACTTATTATTTTATTTGGATTTTTATTTTGATTATATCCAAATATAATGAGACATTATTTTACTTTTAGTGTCAAGATAC